CGACGACGACGACGACGACGACGACGACGACGACGACGACGACGACGACGGCGACCACGACGACGACGACGACGACGACGACGACGACGACGACGACGACGACGGTGGCGACGACGACGACGACGACGACGACGGCGGCGACGACGACGACGACGACGACGACGACGACGACAACTAGCCCTCCGCGCGGGCGTCGGCGGCGCAGGGCCTCACAGCGGGCCCACCAGCGGGCGTGCGCCTCGCGGTGGGCCTCGAACTCGGCCAGCCGCGCGGCGGCGTCGGCCGGCAGCGGCGGGCCGGGCGGGCGCGGCGGCGCCGCCTGAGGAGGAGGAGGGGGAGGAGGAGGAGAAGGAGGCGGAGGAAGTGGAGGCGGAGGATGGAAGGAGGAGGAGGATGGGAGGAGGAGGAGGAGGAGGAGGAGGAGGAGAAGAAAGAGGAGGAGGAGGAAGACTGGCCTGGCCATCGCTCGGACGTCCAGTTCCTGTGTTTTGTTCGGTTTCGTGCGTGGCTTTTTCTCGCGACATGATGAAGGAGGCTCCTCGATGGTCCTCGCCGAAGGAAAGCTGCACACGTCCGAGCGATGCCAAGGAGAACGATAGAAGACAAACTCCTCCGCCGTCGGGAGCGCCTGCCCCCGGGCGACTGGAAAAATTCTACCCCTGCGTGGCACCGTGAGGGTATCAACTTGCCAGCCGCCCTGGGGCAGGCGCCCCGACGGCGGAGAAGTGCATTTTTACTTTGGAGGTCGGAGATGGGTGTGGCACAAAAGGGGTACGGTGCCAATGTTGGACATGGCGATGCTATCTGCAATTGCTAGCGTCGCCAGATCCCCCTTTACATACAAGTAGCACCACGTCCCTGTACACCATGCCCCTTTTTCCTGCCTCTAAATGTATACCGTTCTTCGCCCGTAGATGTTCGGGGGGCCCGCCGGAGGGCCCGTCGGGGAGCCCGTCTGGGGGCCCGTCGGGGAGCCTCCAGGAACGAAGGGACGGAAGGGACTGGAAAGTCATGGAACGACTCCTCTTCCTCCAAAGGAGGAAGGGGTAGGAGGAAAAAATAGAATATGACGAAGAAAGGAATAATAATAATCATAAAAATAATAATAAGAAGAAGAAGAAGAGACAGGGGGAGGAGGAGGAGGAGGAGGAGGAGGAGGAGGAGGAGGAGGAGGAGGAGGGGAGGAGGAGGGGGGGAGGAGGAGGAGGAGGGGAGGAGGAGGAGGAGGACAGAAGGAGGAGGATGACCAGGAGGAGGAGGCGGAGAAGGAGGAGGAGGAGGAGGGGGAGGAGGAGGAGGAGGAGGAGGAGGAGGAGGAGGAGGAGGAGGCGGAGGAGGAGGAGGAGGAGGAGCCGGAACCAGGAGGAGGAGGAAGAGGAGGAGGAGGAGAAGGGGGAGGTGGAGGCCTCGAGACTCGGGAGGCCCGTCCAGGGGCCAAACTTCACAAAACAAACCCGGGGTGCCGCTGGCTCAATCTGACATGCTCAGCTGCCCTGGTTGCCCGGATGCGCAACGTGCAGGCAGGAATGCGGTGGCATGGAGCTGAATACACTGAAGGAGCACGTGCATGTCGCCTAAACATGGGCCAACCGTTGGTGAAAGTTTTTTTTTGCTCGGCGTTTCGACATTGGGCGGAAAAGGGTGGGGGAGGGGGGGGGCCTGGCTCCAGACCTCTGCTTAGTGCGACTGTTTGCAAGAATGCTGCCTCTGGGGGAGACTCCACCCGCTCGTAACAGGCGCCCAAAAAACAGCCAAGATCTACTCCGTGGGGGGGGGGAAGGGAGGGTTTTGGAGCCGCGCCGATCGGCAAAACAACGAATAAACAACGATCACTTGTTGATCCAACACGCAACGTGTTTGAGACAAACGGTCTGTACACTGTACGTGTGGCGTTGCAGCACGGGCGTGTAAGGCCAGGTGAGCGGGCATGGCGTGGCTGGCTCGCCCTGGAACGATCGCGGCACTCCGGCAGCTCAGGCCGCTCGGTGTCGGAAGCTCTTGGGCGACCGGCGGCGCTCAAATCTCGAACGCGCGTGCCGGGGCCGCCGCCGCACCAACGTGAAGCGAGGCTGCCGCGGGTGCCGCGCGAGGCGCGGGCCAACTGTGCTGCCCAATGCCACCTCACGCGGAGGAGGAGGAGGAGGAGGAGGAGGAGGAGGAGAAGGAGGAGCAGGAGGAGGAGGAGGAGGAGGAGGAGGAGGAGGAACGAGGAGGAGAGGGAGGAGAAGGAGGAGGAGGAGGAGGAGCACGCCCACTGCGTGCGCACCCCGCCGCGGGCCGCGTTCGGTGCCCTGCCCTGTGCGCTCTTGTGGCCCGGCACGCCGTCGCCTGATCATCACCGCGTTGCCCCGCCCGTCGGCCTCGCCTTCGTCGTCGTCATGGTCGTCGTGGTCGTGGTCGTCGCCGCAGCCGCCGTCGCCGTCGCCATTGCCGTCGTCCCTGTCGTCGTCGTCGTCGTCGTCGTCGTCGTCGTCGTCGTCGTCGTCGTCGTCGTCGTCGTCGTCGTCGTCGTCGTCCCTGTTGTCGTCGTCGTCGTCGTCGCCGCCACCGCCGCCGTCGTCGTCGTCGTCGTCGTCGTCGTCGTCGTCGTCGTCGTCGCCCCTGTCGTCGTCGTCGTCGTCGCCCCTGTCGTCGTCGTCGTCGTCGTCGTCATCGTCGTCTCGGGGGGGCTGTCTGCAGCTGTTCGGAGTCTCTCGGGAGCCCTGGGAGCTCTCGAGGGTTCCGGGGGTCGCTCGACGTTTCCAGAGAAGGGGGGGCGGAGGAGGAGGAGGGGGGAGGGGAAGGAGGGAGGAGGGGGGGAGGAAGGAGTGAGGAGGGCCAGGAGGAGGACGAGGAGGAGGGACAGGTGGAGAGCGAGTGAAAAGGAAGGTGGGCGCAGATGGGGATCTAGAGAGAGGGAGAGGGGAGTGAGAAGGGGCAGGGGAGGGGGCGGAGGAGCAAGATGGGGAGACGAAAGAAGAGCTCATCCTCCTCCTCATTCGCCTCCGTCTAAGATGTCTCCTCCTGCCCAGTCTCGCCTTGTCTCCAACAGTTACACGGGTGGAGGGCGCTTCCGTTCCAAAATGGGACTCCCGCCTTGGTCTTCCCCAAATGCACGGCCAGAAAATGCAACAATCACACGTATTCAGGGCGAGGAGGAGGAGGAGGAGGGGGAGGAGGAGGAGAAGGAGGAGGAGGAGAGAGAGGAGGAGGAGGAGGAGGAGGAGGAGGAGGAGGAGGAGGAGGAGGGGGAGGGGGAGGAGGAGGAGGAGGAGGAGGAGGAGGAGGAGGAGGAGGGGAGGAGGAGGAGAGGACGAGAAGGAGGAGAAGGAGGGGGACGAGGAGGGGGAGGAGGGGGAGGAGGGTGACTCTCGTGTGAGGGCGGTCCTTTGTTTGCAAAACGAGACGCCAACCTCAAAGTTTCGCTCGAAGGCCTGCAACGCTTACACAGACGGAGGGCGGCGCCGTGTCAAAGAGCGGTGTCCTCGCTGGACGCTGTCCTCCTCCTCCTCCTCCTCTCCTCCTCCTCCTCCTCCTCCTCCTCCTCCTCCTCCTCCCCCTCCTCCTCCTCCTCCTCATCCTCCTCCTCCTCATCCTCCTCCTCCTCGCTGGACGCGTCCCTGTCCTCGCACTACTTGTACCTAAAAGGACAAGTGGCGTGCACATGCAGGGGAGAACGTCTGTTAATGGAGCGCTCGATATGGCGAGAATCTGCATGCGAGGACGGTTGATTCGGAGACTTGGAACTGGAGAGTGCATGACCGCCTCGTTGATGCGTCGTGGCCTTCCTCTGGTCATCAGAACACCATCAGCATCAGCATCATCAACATCATCATCATCATCATCATCATCATCATCATCATCATCATCGTCATCATCATCATCGTCATCATCATCATCATCAGCATCAGCATCAGCATCAGCATCAGCATCATCATCATCATCATCATCGTCATCATCATCATCATCATCATCATCATCGTCATCAACATCATCATCATCGTCACCATGATCACCATCACCATCACCTGCATCATCATCAGCATCATCATCACCATCACCACCATCATCATCAGCATCGTCATCAGCATCGCCACCATCATCTCAATCAGCAGCAGCAGCATCAATGCCATCATAATCGCTAGTATCATCATCATCAGCAGCATCATCAGCATCATCAGCATCGTCACCATCATCATCATCATCAGCAGCAGCAGCAGCAGCATCATCATCATCCACCTCCCCTTCCGTCCAATTTTCCCAATCATTCTCATCACATCCCTCATCAGCATTATCATCATCAGCAGCATCATCATAAGCATAATCATAATCATCGTCATTATCGTGAGCAGCATTATCATCGACGTTGCCGTCGTCACCCTCATCATCAATATCATCATCAGCATCAGCATCATCATCTGCATCAGCATGATCAGAATCAGTGTGATCATCATCACAATCGTCATCATCATCACCATCGTCATCGTCACCTGATCAGCATCATCACCATCATCATAATAAGGATGACCATCCTCATCATCGGAATCGTCGTCATTGTCATTGCCATCATCGGCAGTAGCATCATCATTATGATAATCGTCATCATCAACATCATCACCAGCATCATATTCATTAGCAGCAGCATCATCAACATCATATTCATTAGCAGCATTATCATCGCCATCAGGGCCATCAGCAGCAGCATCAGCTAGCATCAGCATCATCGCCATCGTCACTGTCACCACCACCACCACCCTCAGCAGCAGCAGCAGCATCAACATCATCATTATCACGATCCTCCTCCTCCTCCTCATCATCATCGTCATCATCATCATCATGATCATCATGATCATCATGATCATGATCATGATCATGATCATCATCATCATCATCATCATCATCATCATCATCATCATCATCATCATCATCATCATCATCATCATCATCATCCCCACCGCTTTCCGCAGCAGTAGCGCCATCACCGCCCTCGCCGCCATCACCCCGCGGGGCACTGCCGCCGCGCCCCCATTTTCCGACGGGCGCTCGCCGCGGGGCAAGGGCCCGCACCGCACCCGGCGCGCCCCGCGCTGTGCCCGCCACAGCGCGCAAGAGCGCGCCCTGGGCGCGCGCGCGCGCCCCCTGCCCTGTAGGGTCAGGTCGGGCGTGTCCATCTACAGCGCGGGCGCGGCCGCGAGAAACCCTCGCAAGAAACCCAACCTCATTGTCGTCGAAATTGTCCTTCTCCTCCGCATCCGCATCCGCCTCCTCCTCCTCCTCCTCCGCCTCCTCCCTCCCTCCTCCTCCTCCTCCTCCTCCTCCACCATCCTCCTCCTCCATCCTCCTCCTCCTCCTCCTCTCCTCCTCCTCCTCCTCCCCTCCTACTCCTCCTCCTCCTCCTCCTCCTCCCTCCTCCTCCCTCCTCCTCCTCCTCTTCGTTCTTTCCCTAGGCCTAGATCAGAATCCTGATGGCCGCTCGCCTATCCTGTAAATGAGCTCTTCCACAGCTTTCGCGGCCTCCTCTAAGGCGAGCGCCTCGGCTGTAAAGGAAGAAATTGGGTCACTGATAAACGTCCCTGCAATGATGAAGAGAGTCGTGGTTTCTATCAAACCACGGCGCGTGACAGCCTCTACGCACCAGGCGGCTGCAGAACACGATGCCGCTCGAGTGCCGCCATCGCTGTGGATCAGAAAATTGGCCCCGCTCAGATCTACTGATTCAATCGGGAAGCTGTGATACCACGACTTCTTTTCATCCATTGTGTAGTTCACCAAGAAATCTGCTTTGATATTCCAATCGCGCTTGTGCCAAACAACCATGTCGTCCGCATCCTGCGCTGGCCTCCATCCGTATCCCATTACGTTGAACATGCTCTTGGTAATTCGATCAAACACCGGTCCGAGAGAAGGTGCTGCCAGCACGGTAGTTCCATTGACAACTCCGGCGAGAGGCTTGCAATCGGTGATGAAGAGTACTCGCCCGGCCATGCCGCCCCAATGCACGTCCGGTGCGCTATCGCCGTGTCCAGCCGGAAGCTCGTCCAAAGGATGCGTGGCTATCCTCCTCCGTTTTGGCGCGGCGTGGACCTGGTCCTGGCGATCCGAGCATCTGCCAGACGACTTGCAGAACAATCCCCAAAGAGTGCATAAATGGGATTCGAAGGCTGGGTAGAGAGCCATCCATTCAGCTTCACGCGAGCACTCGTCTCGGCGAGCCCGCCATGCAATGCCGAACACGCTCACGAAGATATCCTCCCATTCTATCCGGTACCCCATCCCAGAATGAACAATGCCTTCCTTCCGTCTTTTCCTCTCGCTGCCCATCATCCTCACGGTCTCCCACCACTCCCGAGTGCGAAATTGTCGCGCCAGGTGCAAATAATTCCTCTCGCCACGTAGCGGCATGCATCTCTCACGCCATGCATTTCTAAAGACTTCCCGGAGCACCCGACAATGCAGCGGTATGATTTTGGTCTGCTCGAAGCTCGACTCGATGATACGAGCGGTGCGCATCATGTATTGCGCATGCCCTTCCCCTGGTTTCCGCCGGAAGCCAAACACCTTGCGCAGCATGCTAAACTCCCACCTCTTAACCTTCGTCAGAACGTTCTGGGTAAGATGCCACGTGGACGATCCGTATGCAACGCTAGCAGCTGGGCCACCTGACCAGGCCCGAAGCTTCGATGTAGTAGTCCCTGGGCCCCGGAATATATGAGCATTGCTCCAGAACTTCCCCTCGCCTTTTTCCGATGCGGTGGTCTACGGACGTGTTCGTGTCCCCCTCCCTGCTGAGCTGCACCCCCAAAGCCGACATAGAGTCAACGATCTTGAAGGAGTGCGCCTCTGCCCCCATCACAGTAGGCGAATTACAAACGCCGGTCGCCGTGGGCCCGCAGAACATGCACTCTAGCGAAGACGCCTTCCATGAAAAGTGAACCTTCCCGATCGCTTCCGTCAGCTCTTGGGTCATTATCGTGAACTCTTCAACGCTGGATGCTAACAAAAATATGTTGTCGGCCCAGATCAAATGGGTGATGCGCTCGTCGCCGCCCTCGTCGAGAGGAAAACCAAAGCCTGCCTCCCTCCACCTCCGGAACGTTTCACCGCAAGACTCCTCCAGCAAGATGTTGAAGCATTGTGGGGTATCGACGCCGCCCTGTTTCCCGCCCCTTTCCAGGTCGAATCTGTCGCAGGGATCCATACCAGGCAACGTGATATTGCATTTCATGCCAGAGACCTCCCGTAAAAGTGCCGCCACCACCGAAGAATGCATACCTCTAGCCAAGAATGCGTTGACCATCGACTCGTGGTGCATAGAGTCGAAGGCGGTCTCGATATCCATAGCGCCAAGTATAAGCTGTACCCCCCAACGGTTCGCAATAAAGATACACTGATGCAAGATGCAAACAACGTCGTCGCAAGAATGTCCTGGCCGAAACCCGAACGTAGCGACCACACTAGGAGATAAAGATGGTTGAACGTGCGGCTGAAGAGATAATAAGTACCACTTTGCGCACACATCAAGTTTGCCAACCCACCGGAATTCCGAAAGTGTAGACGGCCGTGGCACTTTAGGTATACCAGTGAGGTCGATGAGTTTCCAGCTGTCTGGGTCATGGGACCAGGGATCGTTTAGTCTATCATTGAAGAGCTGCCAGAATTCCCTGACACATAACGTAGGCAACGCCTTATATATCTCAGGAGGAACCCCGTCGTTACCAGCCACCTTGCCGACCTTCAGCTTCGCCCTCCTCCTCCTCCTCCTCCTCCTCCTCCCATCCGCGCGCAGGGTGCACCTGCGGGGAAACCCAGAGCACCCCGAAGGCATCAGCCTCTTCCACGGCTGCGGGAAGTCACCGCGCAGCGCGCGGAGCGAAGAAACCAAAGATACCCTGACGAAAAGCATATGGTTTCTTGATGCGCGCCCCCACTGTACAGGAGGAATGTTCACAAGTAGTCAAAAAATAGTCTGGGGACGATTTGTCTTATATGTGTGATCGTTTTTGCATGTTGGTTGACTCTTCCTTATCTTTCGCCCAAAGTCCACCTGTAGAGGGCGTCCCCGCCCTAGAAAACTGTAGGAGGGGGGTGACTGCTGCGCGCCCGCACTGAAACGTGGGCGGGCAGGGGGCAAATCTGGTCGCTTGAGTAGGGCAGGAACTCTCCCGACTGGAGCCAGCCAGCCAGCCTGATGAATATTATCGACAGTGCCCGTGACGGGCTGCTGCGCCCCTTGCACCCTCTCCCCCCCCCAGTCTTCGGTCGGGCATGTCCCCCTACAGGCGGATTGTTGAAGGAAAATCAAAAATAGTCCACCAACAAATTTCAAAACAATCAACAAATACTAAAACAAATCGTCCCCAGACTATGTTTTACAATTTGTTGAATATTCCTCCTGTAGAGGGACGGGTCCGACATAACCCCAGTCACGACGTCACGCTTCGCGCAAGCGCCGTGAGGGAATGAGCAAATCCCAAGCATTCTCAGACGCCGCTGGCCACGCCCGTAGTCGCCAAGGATTTGAAGAATGGTTCCTTCGAGATCGCCGGTATCTCCTTCTAGGGTGAAGAGTTGTGCCCCAGGGACCCAACGAGCCTCGAAGAGTGCGTCAGCGGACCACCATCCAGACTAGCAAACACCTCGGCACCCCACGGCTCGAACGATCCGGCGCTCGCTGGGAAGCTCTGAGAGCCGGCGGGCCTGGAGGATGCTCGGGAGTGCCACAGAGGAAGGCCGGGAAGAGGGGCCTCGCGCCTCGCGGCCCGAGGCACGTGCGCGGACGAGGGGGCACATCGAAGTAAGAGGAGGAACCCCGGACATGTCGTGGCCCGGCCATGATACAGTCAAAACGTATATTAAGGACGCGTGGTAAGGGCGCAAGACCCTTGGAGGCTGAAGTTGGGATTTTTTTGGGCGGCGGCGACCAGTGAAAACGGCAAAGGACGGGCCACAGAGGCACGGACGCAAGGGCATCCTAGATGAAGGCGCGCGTCCTTACTAGGCGCGTTGACTGTACCCGCAAAGGATGTCTCGGGCGCCCCAAGGATGTCTCGGGCGCCGCGGGGTTCCCGAGCGTCCCCGACCGCTGAGCGGCCCGAACGCCCTGGAGCGACTCCGCCTCCTGCTCGGCCATCGCGCCATCGTGAGGAATCAAGACCGACTGGGCTGGAGCCCTGCACCCCAACTGAGGACACCACAACCCACACCCACCTCCAGCCGGGAGCCCCACGTTCGACGTGATGATGCGGGAGGCCCCTGCCGAGGGCGGGGGGGGGATGTTCTTAGGAATTCGCCCGATCGTGAGCTGCCGCCTTCGCCCGAAACCTCTCAGCCAACGGACGGATGCGATCGTTGCCGATCAGCCGTGCACTGCCAGCCGAGGGCGGCGGAGGGGCAGCAAGGAACACTGCCTTGGGCAGGGTTTGCGACACCGATTTGTCACCCTTTGAATTCAACCTGTAGTGAAGGTGAAGACCGCGGCCTATACGATCGAGGGCACTCTCACCAGAGGGCCCCAGGAACTTGGAACACTGTTGGCACAAGAGGTTACAACGGTGACTGGTATACGCACCACAGCGTATACAGAGAAACACAATCTTACCCGATCGGTCCAGTTCGGCGAAGCCCATTTGGTGACCACGGTCCGACTCAGCACCCTCGAGGCGCCTCAGGGCCGTCGAGGGCCCACGGCAGCCGTTCATGGGTCTTTCGCGGTTCTCGGACACGACCTGGAAACTGGAGCGGCACCGAAAACAGGTGCCCGACTCAAGTCTCTCCCAAACATGCCAGTCAGGCGGTGGTTTCACCCGCGGGACACGCGCGGCCTTGGGTGGCCGCTGAAACTCAAGCTTCGGAAAGAGGGGCAAAACAGCCCCAAACATGCGGGCAAAAAAACCGAGGAGCTGCACCTGACGATGCAGCCTCTCAAGATCGGCAGGTGCAGCCTGGGGGTGGAGGGAGAGAGCGTACTTGGCCAGACGGTCGGCGCCATCATTGCCTAAAGCAATGCGCCTCTCGTCAGGAGGGGGCGCGAGGATGACATCTTCAGAGCGGCGCGCTGGCGCGTGCCACGCCTCCCCCGCAGCGCTGCATCCCGCAGCTTGCTGGGCCGCGCGACGCACCTCCGCAAACATCTGCTTTGGTCTTAGTTGGGCCTGATCCGACGCACTGTGCAGTCGCACCGCCCCTTTGCAATCACTGCAAGGGGTGCTGTGGCCAGACGCGAACAGACAAACAGTGGCAAACCCAACATTTTCCGCCGCCTGCGGCGTCTGATGGAGATATGGCCAAATCGGGGCCATCGTCCTGGTCCGAACTTTGCACTCGGGCCCTGGCTCCAAAAACACGGCAGCAAAAGTGGCTCTCTTCAGATCAGCCATGGGACATTGCGAGGCCGATGCATCAACTACGACGTCACAGTTAGCGCTGCGCTCGACAAATTCCCGCGGGGACAATGGATTACCGTCGCCGCCCTGGCGGAGAGGGTCCGTCGCCGTCGAAGGAGAAGGGAAATTGTCGGGCGACGGCTGCGCCATCACCAGACGCGTCCAGCACGCTAGATCCCCTGGCGGGCTGGCGCGGGCACGCTCGACTACACCCCGCGAAGTAGGAAGAGGAGGACGAGGAGGAGCGAGCGCCCCGAAGGCGATGAACCCAGGCCCCCCAGGGCCCGCTTGCGCCCGCCGCGCGGCTCGCGGGGCCGCTTAGGGCGGCGAGGGCGGCGCCCGCCAGGGCGACGTCGTCGTAGACCAGCATGTGCACGTCGAGCTCGCCGACGAGGTTGTCCGCCGGGTCGCAGTCGGGGAAGAGCGCGCCGCGGGCGGCGGAGGGAGTGGAAGCACCGTCGGCGCCGCCGAACGCCGCCATCGCCACGGGGTCAAAGGGCGCGCGGTCAGGGAAGGCGCCCTCGACGACCGCGGAGGCGCTGCCATGATCTTCGGCAGGATGAGGAAGAGCATCACCAGGGGGCGAGGCGGCAGTGTTCACCGGGGCGCTGAATGAAGGATCGCCCACGTCCTCCGCGTCGCTCAGCATCGCGCCCTCGGCCGCCAAGGGCCCGAGACAGCCGGGCTCGCCATCGAGATGCCCCTGAACACCGGGGTCGGGGAGTAGCACCTGCAGGCGCGCAGGGTTGTTTAGAATCCACTGCATCAGCCCCCTCTTGTCCGCAGAGATCACAGAGTGCAGGATGTCCAGCGCACGCATAGCATTATCGATCTGCTGTTCAGAGATCGCATCAGGATAGGCAGGGGGCTCTGTTAGTGCCGTCGACAATAGGTTCGCTGCCACGGAGGTTGCTGACGCTGTAGCATACGAAATCGGGCGCGGACCAACTCCTCGCGCAAGAATTTCGAGCGCGAGCTGTAGAGCAAGAGAAATGGACGGCAGCAGCCCAGACAGGATGCCCACGGCCGAATGCTCGCTCCAAGGCCCAGCGTCAGCACATATGGGGCCCAGCACGCACCCTTGTCCATCAGCGCGTGCACCATGGGATTCATGCCAGGCGGACCACAGGTCGGAAGGGTCGATGACACTTTCGCGATGAAGTTCAGCCTCTGCGCGATCATCCACTGGAGGCGAAGTCGGAAGCGATGAACGCACAAGTGAAGAATAGAGCGATGGCGCGGGCATGTCAGGGGTCGTCGCCGAAGTCTTTGACATCAGACCACTCAGCACCAAGATCGCTGTCCACTCCCTCGCCACTGTGGTCATTCTGTCCAGTGCGCCATTCTCGTGTCTGGGACGTGTCAACTGGGACGGCAGCAGGCAGCAACGTCCCAGATGATGTTGTGGCGGGGCTCACCCACGTGAGAACATCGGAGTCAGCATCAGGCGGTGGCGGCCCAGACGAGCTCGAAGAAGGCCACGAGGGCAAGGAACTGCAAGACGCAGGTAGTTGTGTTTGCCAGGCTGAAGGCGGCGTAGTACGGGGCCCGAAGATGCGTTCAAACTCGCCATCCAACATCATGTCTCTGCCGAAAACGGCAGGCGGCGGGAGCCCTTAAACAGAATCGGCCTGGGTTTCTTCCATGAGCACCAAGCCAGCTTCGGTGGGGGACGGGTAATCATCTGCTTCCGTGCCAGGCTGCTGGCGTGCCTCGGTCTCGTTGGGCGGGTAGTTGTCCTCAGACGAGTTCATGCTTTTGAGCAGCTGCTCCATCGGTTCAAAATCCATGTCGTCGACGGTGATGCCTTGCATGGTGGTCAGGTTGGCGATATGAGCGTTCGGCGCGGGGATCAATCTCACGTCTCCGCCATGCCTCCCAGGGTCACCATTACCTGCGCGCGTCAAGATGCGGGCGCGCAAGCCGAACGGCATGCGTGACGGGTCAGGGTGCCAGGTGAGCATGCCGTTGCGCTGCTTGGAGAGCCTCGCCAGGAGCTCCACGCCCCCGTCCGTCGGATGACGCAGTGCTCCATGCAGCTTTTGACAGATGCCCACGAGTGAAAGCACTGTCGCAGTCGGCTTTCACGCAGATATCCTCCGCCTCGCGCCGACGACGGCGCCCCTGAGAACCCCCTGTTTTCGACGATGCGATCGAAGTGGTTAGCGAAGGGGGAAAAGAAGAGCAGCCCAAAGACGTAGTCGACGCACCAGTCGGCAGGTGCCAAAGTTTGACGTCTCGCTTTGGTGGCAGAGAGAAGGTATCCATCTGCTAGCCCACGCCGTAGCCTGGTTGATCATCTCTCGCCGCATGTTGTGAACACGTTGCCCAAGGGAAATACCATGAACATGCGCATGCAACCGTGGACGAGAAAGCACCGATGGGCC